GGAATTACGCCTGGGGAGATGTGAAGGAGGTCGAGTGGAAGAACAAGGCCAACTACCTTAGCATGGACAATCATTGTGATTACCGGTTCATCGCTCACGTGGAAGGTATGGGGTATTGCATCGTCTAAGCATTGCCAATATCAACGAGGAAGTCCAGCTAATGTCTTCTAGGTCGGTCCTACTCAGCGTCTCTCAAATATCGCCAGGCCTGTCGATCGGTAGTAGTGATTCATAAATTACAATATATCCAACATCACCACTATCTTCTCGTCTCGTCCGGTCCGCAGCAGAACTTTGTTCAGGTGGAGAGGGACTGGACGGATTTACCGCACAAGATCCAAGAGCTTCTCGATAACCCTATCAAGGCTCGCACGATTGCAGACAACAATGTGGATGTATTTCGCGAGCGATATCTGACTCCAGCTGCTGATGTATGCTACTGGAGGGCGTTGCTGCAGGGGTGGACCACTGCATCGCCTCAGATCACCGAAACTATGAGTGACCCAACCAATGTCTCTAACAAAGGCATTCGGTACGAATCTTTTTTACTGCTAGATCCCAGCAACATGATGCGCTTTAGGCCTTGAGATTGGAACCATGTATTTTATAACTTCGTTGAATGTCGATCGAGTCGGTCCACAAGCTGATCTGGTGAAAGCGGATTCCTCCTATCCTCCGCTACTCTAATAAACCATATAATCTTTCCCTAGGGCAACGTAATACATACGACGATGCGTTGTAGAGAACAGGGCCTCACCACCTGCTCAGCCGTACATAAGCCCCACATCAAGGGCAGTAAACTCTATTAGAAAAAGGCTATTTGATCTGAATGGGCTGCTATTTCCCTCGGGTGTTAATTTTATTCTGCCTCATCTTCCTACATCATATCTAGGCGCTATTTTTTTTTTTTTTCCTTCAAAAATTTGTTTATATAATAGCACTGTCATGGTTACATGACATTGTAATATCATAAGCAGGAATCCATTTAGAAACATCGCAAACCCGACGAGGTTCAGGGAGCTTACGAACGTGGGGAACAAGGACAAGATAAATTTGTGCGTGCGTGAGTGTGTGTGCCTAAAGGGAAGGATTCGTGCCACGGAAGCCACATATTCTACGGGGATTGTGAACTGGTGTTTGTAGAGTGTAGCTACTAAGATATAAGTAATGAACTTGAAACAATATAGCAATGCATACCGTAAACCATGGTGTAAGCTCGATCTTCCTCCATCTTGACATGATGTCCGTCCACTGCGACGAAGGTTCCCCAAAATACCAACTTGGAGAAGCCCCTGAGTCCTCTACCCGTGTTACTGCATGTTACGCATACCATGGACTCGTGTATAGTGGTTACAAGTAGCTTTGGGTAGACTGGGGCTTATGGAGAGCTAGGCAACTCTAATGAAACTATGGCATCAGAGGACAAACATATCAATGCGGACCGCTCATATAAGTACTACTTTTGTGGCATACTAGTTCCAACAAGACTGCCTTGAGACGATCTCACCATGGTCTGGATTTCATTCAACTCGGTCACTAGATATCCCTGCTGCCCTGCACTGGAGTTAGAGCCGTACCGGATACCGGGGTATTGTGATGATCTTTTGACCAGATGCCTTGCAGCCAGGTTAGATCTGTTCACGGACGGAACAATGTCGGCCTCGCCAGGGAAAGACTAAAATAGAATTGCCAGGGCATGGCAAAGAAAGAGCGTCGAGATAAGGAACTTGATGGTAGCAGCCGAATTAGCCATAGTAGGAACCGACCACAGAGCCAAATTGACATAGTAAATAAATGTGTGAGTGAGTAAATTCAGCAGAATAAAATGGTGTTAGAGTGAGTAGATATTTTTCTGTCTGAATGAGCGACAGAATTATAAAAGAAAATCACCTCCATACACAACTCGAGGAGGCTGGCTAGTAAATGACTTTGACGATGCCTGCCTTTCCAGTGGCAGATAGGCATCGTCTTGCTGTTCCCTCATTACGATATCTTACTGAAAATCTCATCTACCCTTCCCCTGCTATCTCGGTAGGCTTCTAGTACTCTTAGTAAATTATTGCTTTGATACAGAATCTATGAGGATCCAACCTCAAGGATCCTCCAGGGTAATACCCAATACCAGAACATGCATACTGCTCCTGGTGTCAAGCGGAAGATAACATCCGACAGAATTAAACCAAGATAGCATTGTGGAGCTGTTATCATGTCTTATTGGGAGGGTTTCATTTCCAATGCAACTGTAGTAGCGCGAGATATCTGACCTACCAATCAATGTGGATTATGCCGACACAGGGCCTGGCAAGGACTGTACATAGATTAAAGCTGAAAATTGAAGCTGGGGATGGAGATGAACCGGTGTGCCATTTTCTGGACAAGAGAACTTGTGACGGCAGCCTCGTTCAGGGCCTTGTTCAGGATCATGTGACCACGTTTGTTTCATTTACTTTATTGTCGTTTTTTTCAAGCGAGTATCTATAATACTTCTTATTTTCCTTTTTCCCCCTTTATATTTAAAGTTCTAGAGTAGTTAACACCAATACAACCTTATTTTACTATGTTAAATAGCTATTTTATAACTTTAAATATTATTCTTTATTTCTTTTCTACTGCTGTACATGGCCAGCTCCTGCTAAGCCATTAATAATCCTATCCTGCATTCTTAGCGACATTTAACAGCCAAAAAACTTACCCAACCGACTAATTAAATAAATAAAATGGCTAGAGAAAGTACCTAGACTTCTAGTCTTAAGAATAACTAACGATTTTTTACAATACTATCTAATAAACTAGACTAGGAAGATAAGTTTAATCAAACTAAATTTAATAACTAATATAAAAGAGACCCGAAGTAGACTTTTAAAATTCTTCTAAAGATTTTTAATACTCTAAAAACTAAAAAAGATAATTTTTTAGACTAGCAGGATCAGCAGGCCTAGGAGATTAAATATTTTATTAAAAAATAAGATTACTTTGTTATATAAATTTTATAATAGTAAATATACCTAGACCAGAACATTTTTATAAAAATAAAGAAATTTATAAAGATTCCAGATCTTCCTCTATTCAGTAATAATGTAAATCTAATTTACAAAAACTAGGTTTTTACTATATAGTAAAAATTAAAAGTTAATATTAATTAATATAACATTCTTACTATACGTAAGATATATATTACCAGCCGATATCAGGGTATTATTAAAAAATATCTTATTCTATATTTTTATCCTAACGCCACTGATTTCTTCTTTAATTCGGATAATATATTTAAATACTTAAAAATTATCTTTACTAATCTTAATAAGATTCACAACGCCTGTTGTTAGTATTAGAGCTTATAGGTAAAAACTAGAGATAAGTTTTATATCTTCATCTTAACCTTTCACTATCTTACCGTTGAAGCTGGAGTTAATAAGGATATCTAAAAAAATAATTTTTATAATAAACTTCTTATTAAGCTTCAGGATCTCACCGCGTATAACTATAATAATAAAGATTTTAAAGAATTTGTGAAGTAATGCACCAACTCTATAAATATAATTAAAAAATAAATTAAAAGATATACTAAAAATAATTTTATAATAATTAGAGATTATATAGAGTCTTATATATTTTATTTTCTTATTATTACTTTGAGTGCTATGAGCACTTTCTCTAAACCTTTAATCTAAATTTCTAATATAGAATCAGAAACTAGGAAGGCACTAATAAAAGATAAAAAGTATTTCTATTATAAGAAGCCCGGTTATAGAAGTAAAGAATATCCTAAGAAGAAAACTATATAAGTAAAGGCTCTAGAAGTCTCTATAGAGAAACCCAAGTTAGTAAAAAATAATATCTAGAAAAAGTCTCTATCCTAGACGAGCTAAAAGTTTAAATAAGTATAGTAAATCTACGAGACTTGTTAGAAAATAATAATAATAGTTTTATAATCACTACTCTATTCTCTAAAGATAGTATTACTATCCCTATTTATATACTTACTAATTCCAGAGCTAATACCTACTTAATAATAAATACTTAGTTTACTATTAAATTAGCTTGATACTTTAAAATCTTAATACTATTTTTAAAAAAGATAACTCTTATTACAAACTTTAACAGAAAATAGACTACTAATTTAATATATATAATCTAATTAAATTTTATAATTAACAGCCACTAATTCCTAAATATTTTCTTTTTTATATTAGACCTGGATGTGACGGCAGCCTCGTTCAGGGCCTTGTTCAGGATCATGTGACCACGTTTATTTTGTCTACTTTATTGTTGTTTTCTTTAAGTGAATACCTATAATACTTCTTGTTTTCCTTTTTCCCCCCTTATACTTAAAGTTCTAGAGTAGTTAGCACCAATATGACCTTATTTTATTATATTGAATGGCCGTCTTATAACTTTAAATATTATTCTTTATTTTTTTTTTACTACTGTACACGGCCAGCTCCTGCCAAGCCATTAATAGTCCTTATCCCGCGTTCTTGGCAACGCCTAACAGCCAAAAGACCTACCCAACCAACTAAATAAATGAAATAGCTAAAGAAAGTACCCAGACTTCTAGTTCTAAGAATAATTAATAACTTTCCGCAATACTGCCTGATGAACTAGACTGGAAAGATAAGTTTAATTAAACTAAATTTAATAATTAATATAAAAAAGATTTAAAGTAAACTTTTAAAATCCTTCTAAAGATTTTTAATATTCTGGAGGCTAAAAAAGATAATTTTCTCAATAAATAAGATTGATAAAGCTAGGAGATAATTACTCTTATTAAAAAACAGGATAATATTGCTAGAGAATAAGATACCTTTATAGTATAAATTACCTATCAGATCTTAATTAATTCTTGAAATATAACTATCTCTAAACCTAAGAAAGCAATAAAGATCCCCAATCTATCTTTATTTAATGATAGAAAGAACGTCTCCTTTAAAGACTAGGTATTAGTTATGTATTAGAAGCTGGAAATTAATATTAATTAGTTTACTATTTTAGTAGTACGCAAAGCTTATATTACTAGCTGTTATAAGGGTAATATAAGGAAGTATTTAATACTTAGATTCTATTTAAGTACAACCAATCTTTATGATAATACTAAGGATATATTAGAATATCTGAAAATTATTTTTATTAATTTTTATAAGATTTATAATGCTTGCTACTAGTACTGGGACCTATATATAAAGATTAAAAAAAAGTTTTATATTTTTATCTCTATTTTTTATTACCTCACGGTGGAAGTTAGAATCAGTGAAAACTTTTAGAAAGAAGACTTATATAATAAACTATTTCCTAAGTTAAAGAAATCTATTATATATAGCTTTAATAACAAGCATTACTCCTTTAATGACTATATAAAGAAATATATAAATTTTATAGACTTAATTAAAAATTTAATAAAGAATTATACTAGAAGTAATATTATTATTACTAATAATTATAATAAATCTTATAATTCTCGTATCTTTTTTAGTATTTTAAACTCTAAGAATATTATTTTTAAGACCTTGACTTATGTTTCAAGTATAGAGTTAGAGACTAGGAAGGCTCTAATAAAAAATAAGAAATATTTTTACTATAAAAAATCTGGTTATAGGAGTAGAGAATATTTTAAAAAAAAGATTATATAGGTGAAGGCCCTGGAAATTTCTATAGAAGAATTTAAATTAATAAAAAATAATATCTAGAAAAAATCTTTATCCTGGGCGAGCTGGAAGCTTAAATAAATATAATAAATTTATAAGATTTATTAAAAAATAATAATAATAGTTTTATAATTATTACTTTATTCTCTAAAGATAGTATTACTATTCTTACTTATATGCTTGCTGATTCTGAAACTAATATTTATTTAATAATAAATATTTAGTTTACTATTAAGTTAGTCTGATACTTTAAAATCTTAATTTTATCTTTAAAAAAGACAACCCTAGTTATAAGCTTTAATAAGAAACGGACTACTGATTTAATATATATAATTTGATTAAATCTTATAGTTAATAGTTATTAGTTTTTAAATACCTTTTTTCTTATACTGGACCTAGAAAGATATAATGCTATTCTTAGAAAGATATAGTTTACTAAATATAATATCTTATTAGATTACTAGAATTATTAACTAATCTAGCCAAGCTAGCTAACTTTAAAGGATAAGGTAAAAGTTAGACTTTTTATAAATATTTTTTAGACTATTCTAGAGTAGTCCCTGGTGGATTATAAATATTAATAAAATATAATTTAGAGAGACTATAAGATGTAATTAAAAAATAAATAATTAAAGTCTTTATAATTATTATTAATTTTTTTTTATATTAACTGGAGTAGCCTATACAAGATTCTAGTAAAAATAGAATATAATCTAATTAAAAAGAATTATTAATATTATTTTTTCTCTAGAATCTTAAAGTCTGAATTGAAGCCTACCCTAATTAAACTTTTCTATAGAGAAATAACTCTTATTAGAGTAGCTAGCTTCTAATAATATTTAAAGAACTTAGAGATAGAAATCTTTGTTACTTTACTTAACACTATTAAAAAAGTTTTTATAAAGAAACTAGAGGTTCCACGTATAAATAAAAAGGATAAAATTAAAAAAGTTTTTTCTAAGTAATATTATAATCTAGTAGATATCTTTTTAAAGAAAAAATCTAATATATTATTTCTATCCCAGTATTATAACTATAAGATTTAGCTAGAGGGTAAGAACCCTCTAGATATTATTTTTTTCTATAAAATAATAATAAAAAAATTATAGGCCTCCTGTGATTATATTATAGAAAATCTAGATAAAAAATTTATTATATTAAACTCTATATTCTTTATATTTTTTATTTTAATAGTCTGAAAGCCCAGAGAAGGCCTCCATTTCTATATAAATTATTAAAAACTAAATATTTTAATTAAAAAAAATCTATATTTTTTATTCTTTATTAATAAGATGATAGACCATTTACACTATATAAAAATCTTTATTAAATTTAATATATATTAGGATTTTTATTAGATTAGAATAGACCCTGTTTCAGAAAATCTTATAATCTTTAAAATATAATATAACTTATTTAAGTATTAAATTTTTTTATTTAGACTTATTAATGGACCCGCTACCTTCTAATAGTTTATTAATAAAGTCTTGATAGAGTACTTAGATAAGTTTATTATAACCTATATTAATAATATATTAATTTATAGTAATAATATAGCTGAGTATGAGTTACACGTATATTTAGTATTTAAAAAATTATAGATTATAGATTTATAAACTATTATCTATAAATATAAGTTCTATATTATAAAGATTAAGTTCTTAGGGTTTATTATTATTATTAATAGTATCTAAGTAAATCTAATAAAGATTACTATTATTATTAAGTGGATGATTCCAATAATTATATAGGAAATTTAATTATTTTTAAGTTTTTATAATTTTTACTGAAGATTTATTAGAGTTTATAATAGAATAGTATGATCTCTAATATAATTAATTTAAAAAGATATTACTTTTAATTAGGATTATACCTGTACTGAAGCTTTTAAGATATTTAAAAAAATATTAATTTTAATTTCTATTCTAGCTTACTATAATCCTATATTTCTTACTTATATTGAGACAGATATTGCTGATAGAGTTATTATAGAAGTATTTTTATAACTAATAGATAGAGCCTAGTATTTAGTGGTTTATTATTTTAAAACTATATCTCCTGTAGAATATAATTATAATATTTATAATAAAGAACTACTAGCAATTATTTATGTCTTAAAAAAATAGTAACTAAAGCTGGAAGGACTCTAATATATAGATTATTTTAATATTCTAATTAATTACTAAGTCTTAGAGTATTTTATAACCACTAAGAGATTAAATACTTATTAAGTATAGTGGGCTGAGTTTCTTTTCTAATATTATTTTTTAATCTGATTTTACTCTAGGAAGTATAATGCTTTAATAGATATATTAATTTATAAGAATAGTAGTAAGTAAATCCTAATATAATATTATAAGTAAATCTTATTATTCCTAGAGTATTTAGAGAATAGAATATATTTTTATTTATTAGTCTCTAAATTACTAATAGTTCTTACTTTTATATAAAAATATCTATAGATTATAGATTAATTTCTAGTAGTTAACTAGAACTATCTTTCTCTAAAATCTTACTAGAAAAAAGCCTGTTATGGCAAAGAGAGATATATCCTAAAAAATAAATTTTTATTTTTTAATAATTTATTAATAGTTCTGGATAATGGGGATTTATATACTTAATTATTAAATAAAATTTATTATTAATTATTATTTATTTATCCAGGGTGAACGAAGATGCTGGATCTTATAAAATACTAATACTACTAGAATATTTAGAACTAAAATATATATTATTATTTAAATAACTATTTAATCTATAAATAAAAGAATATAAGATAGGATTTTCCCCCGGGATTTTTATAATCTCTGCTAATCCTAAACTGCTTAGGATAGTATTTATTAATAGATTTTTAGATATTTTTAAAGGACTGTTATAGTTTTGATACTATATTTATTATAATAAACTAATTAAATAAGTAAATTATTTTAATATTATGTATAAAAATTATATTTATATAAAATATAGCCCGGTTCTTTCTGGAGTATATATATTCTTAATCAGAATCTTTAAATATAATTATATTAGACTAAGAAAGATAATTTATATTAAAGTTCTAGAATGAGTTGTATTGTATATTATAAGTAAAATTTAAATTTTTAATAATATATTATCTTTAAACTGATAGGTAGACTAAAATTATAAACCAGTATATAATATAAAAACTTATTTTTTTTATAAATTATTATCAAGATAATTAGTTAGAATTTTTATTATTAATTAATTTTATTTTTACAGTCTTGCTCTAGGAATCTACGGGCCTATTATTTTTTATAATTAAGTAAAAATATAAGTCCTATATCTTCTTTGACTGGATACCTTTCTAGATCTCTATTATAGATATTATTAACTAATAGTAAGCCTGAGCCTTAGTTTACTATATAAAATAGATATAGGAGCTGGTAAAAAAAGATATATAAATTATTTAGTAAGTTTAGACTTGTATAGTTAACTAATGGTATTAATCTATAAATTTTAATATTAGTAATAAGATTTATATAGATGCTAGAAACTAGTACTAGAAGTAACTATCCTGGAAGTTATCTAAAAGCTAGTATAATTTAGTAATTATTATTAAGAAAATTAGTTATATATTCCAAGTTCAATTATTTAATAGTATAAAGGTCTATCCTATCTTTTATCCTAATAAACTCTATCTTTATAGTACTCTGGAGCTGTTACTTAGATAAATCTTAGATTAAATTTTCTTAATTAAGATTAATAATTATACTAAATAGAAAGTGGAATAAATCTTAAAGAACTATTTATAAATAAGAACTCTGTAATACTATGTTAAATAAGTAAGTTTTAATAAAAATAACTATAAATAGTATCCTACTAGTAATTTTAAAAATATATTTTTTTATTTATATAACTTTTATACTTATTATCTAGATTATTCTAGACTACCTAAATAATTTTCCATTTGGATTGTGGCTGTGGAGAATAATAAATTTACTATAGATTATAATAATGATAATATTCTTTTAATTAAGGATAGTCAGGTCTAAATAGGAGGATGATATAATAGTAGTCTTATTTAAGACTTTGTTCAGGATCATGTGACTATATTTATTTTATTTATTTTACTATTATTTTCTTTAAGTGAGTGTTTATAATACTTTTTATTTTTCTTTTTCCCCCCTTATGCTTAAAGTTCTAGAGTAGTTAGCACCAATATGACCTCATTTTATTGTGTTGAACGGCCGTCTTACTGGAAAGGCATAATACTATCCTTAAAAAAATATGGTTTACTAAATATAATATCTTACTAGATTATTAGAATTACTAACTAATCTAGCCAAGCTAGCTAATATTAAAAAATAAAATAAAAGTTAGATTTCTTATAAGTATTTTTTAAATTATTTTAGAGCAGTCCCCAGTAGATCATAAATATTAATAAAATATAGTCTAGAGGGACCATAAAATATAGTTAAAAAATAAATAGTTAAAACCTTTATAATTATTATTAATTTTTTCCTGTATTAACCGAAGCAGCCTATATAAAATCTTAATAAAGATAGAATATAATCTAGTTAGAAAGAATTACTAGTATTATTTTTCCTTTAAAACCCCGAAGCCTAAACTAAAGCTCATTTTAATCAAATTTTTTTATAAAGAGATAGCTCTTATTAGAGTAGCTGGCTTCTAATAATATCTAAAGAACTTAAAAATAAAAATCTTTATTACCTTGCTCAATACTATTAAGAAAACTCTTATAGAAAAATTAGAGATTCCACGTATAAGTAAAGAGAATAAAATTAAGAAAATCTTTTTTAAATAATACTATAATCTAGTAGATATCTTTTTAAAGAAGAAATTTAATATATTATCTCTATTCTAGTATTATAATTATAAGATTTAACTAGAGAATAAAAATTTTCTAGATACTACTCTTCTTTATAAAATAATAATAGAAGAGCTGCAGACCTTCCATAATTATATTATAAAAAATCTAAATAAAGAATTTATTATATTAAGCTCTATACCCTTTATATTTTTTATTTTAATAATCTAAAAACCTAGAGAAGGCCTCCACTTCTATATAAACTATTAAAAATTAAATACTTTAATTAAGAAGGACCCATATCCCTTATCTTTTATTAATAAAATAATAGACTGCCTGTATAATATAAAAATCTTTATAAAATTTAATATATATTAGAACTTCCACTAGATTAGAATAGACTCTATTTTAGAAGATCTTATAATTTTTAAAATATAATATAGCCTATTTAAATATCAAGTTTTTTTATTTAAACTTATTAATAGACCTACTACCTTCCAACAGTTTATTAATGAAATCTTAATAAAGTACTTAGATAAGTTTGTAACGGTTTATATTAATAATATATTAATTTATAGTAATAATATAGTTAAGTATAAACTACATATATATTTAATACTTAAAAAGTTATAAACTATAGGCTTATAGACTGCTATTTATAAATATAAGTTCTATATTATAAAGACTAAGTTCCTAAGATTTATTATTACTACTGATAGTATTTGGATAGATTTAATAAAGATTACTATTATTACTAAGTAAATAACTTTAATAATTATATAAAAAATTTAATTATTTTTAAATTTTTACAACTTCTATTAAAAATTTATTAAAACTTATAGTAGAATAGCACGACCCCTGACATAACTAATTTAAAAAAATATTATCTTTAACTAGGATTATACCTATACTAAAGCTTTTAAAATACTTAAGAAAATATTAGTTTTAATTTTTATTTTAATTTACTACGATCCCATGTTCCTTACTTATATTAAGATAGATACTACTAATAGAATTATTATAGAAGTATTTTTATAGCTAGTAAATAAGGTCTGATACTTAATAATTTATTATTCTAAGATTATATCTTCTATAGAACACAACTATAATATTCATAATAAAAAATTATTAGTAATTATTTATATCTTAGAAAAATAGTGACTAGAGTTAGAAAGACTCTAGTATATAAATTATTTCAATATCCTAACTAATTACTAAGTCTTGGAGTATTTTATAACTACTAAAAAATTAAATACCTATTAAATATAATAGGCTAAATTTTTTTTTTAATATTACTTCTTAATCTAATTCCATCCTGGAAAGTATAATATCTTAATAGATATACTAATTTATAAAAATAGTAATAAGTAAGTTTTAATATAATACCGCGAGCAAATCCTATTATTCTTAAAGTACTTAGAAAACAGAATATATTTTTACTTATTAATTTCTAAATTACTAATAGTCTTTACCCCTATATAGAAATACCTATAGATTATAAATTAATTTCTAGTAGTTAACTAGAACTATTCCTTTCTAAAGTCTTATTAGAAAAAAGCCTATTATAGTAAAGGGAGATATATCTTAAAAAATAGACTTCTATTCTTTAATAATCTATTAATAGTCTTAAATAATGGGAACCTATATATTTAATTACTGGATAAAATCTACTACTAACTATTATTTATTTATCTAGGCTGAACGAAGATACTAGATCTTATAAAATATTAATACTATTAGGATACCTAGAACCGAGACATATATTATTATCTAAATAACTATCTAATTTATAAATAAAAAAATATAAAATAAGATTTTTTTCTAAAATTTTTATAATCTTTACTAATCCTGGACCACCCGGGATAGTATTTATTAATAAATTTTTAGATATTTCTAAAGGATTGTTATAATTTTAATATTATATTTATTATAGTAGACTAGTTAAGTAAGTAAGTTACTTTAATATTATATATAAAAATTATATTTATATAAGACATGGCCTGGCTCTTTTTAGAGCACATGTATCCTTAGTCAGGATCTCTAGATATAATTATATTAGACTAAGAGGGATAATTTATATTAAAGTTCTAAAATAAGTTATATTATATATTATAAATAAAATTTAAACTTTTAACAGCGTACTATCTTTAAATTAATAAATAAACTAAAATCATGAACCAATATATGGTATAAAGACTTATTTCTTTTATAAATTATTATTAAGATAACTAGTCAGAATTTCTACTATTAATTAATTTTACTTTTATAGCTCTATTTTAAAAGTCTACGGGTCTATTATCCTTTATAATTAAATAAGGATATAAGTCCTATATTTTCTTTGATTAGATATTTTTCTAAATCTTTATTATAAATATTATTAACTAGTAGCAAGCCCGAGCCCTAGCCTATTATATAGAATAAATATGGGAGCTGGTAAAAAGAAATATATAAGCTATCTAGTAAATTTAGATCTATATAGCTAACTAATAGTATTAATCTATAAATTTTAATATTAGTAATAAGATTTATATGGATACTAAAAACTAGTATTGGAAGTAACTATTCTAAAAGCTATTAGAAAATTAATATAGTCTAGTAACTATTACTAAGAAAATTAGTTATATATTCTAAGTTTAATTATCTAATAGTATAAAAATCCACCCTATTTTTTATCTTAATAAACTCCGTCTTTATAGTACTCTGGAGCTGCTACCTAGACAGATCTTAAATTAGATTTTTTTAATTAAAATTAATAACTATACTAAGTAGAAAATAGAACAAATCTTAAAAAACTATTTATAAATAGGAACTCTGCAGTACCGCGTTAAATAGATAGATTCTAATAAAAATAACTATGAGTAGTATTCTACTAGTAATTTTAAGAATATATCTTTTTACTTATGTGATTTTTATATCTATTATCCAGACTATCCTGGATTATCTAAATAATTCTTTATTTAGATTATAGCTGTGGAGAATAACAAATTCACTATAGATTATAATAATAACAACATTCCCCTAACTAGGAGTAGTCAGGTCTAAATAAAGAAATAATATAATAGCAGCCTTATTTAGGATCTTATTCAGGATCATATAACTACATTTATTTTATTTATTTTATTATTATTTTTTTTAAGTGAGTGTTTATAATACTTCTTATTTTTCTTTTTCCCCCCTTACGCTTAAAGTTCTAGAGTAGTTAGCACCAATACGACCTCATTTTGCTGTGTTGAACGGCCGTCTCAGAACTGACTGACTGTGCCCCCTCATAGCGCTCCTAACTGGACCCCGGTCTTATGTTACATTGCCCACAAACCCTTGTGGGGCTGACAGTAAGAACTCTCATTGAGTGTCCCCCACCAGGGGATCATTTGACGGATAAACCTCGGTGGATTTCATGATTCTTGGCAAGAAGTCACGTAACGGATTTTTCGATATGTAAACCTAGAGAACACGCTAATCTATGTTTATATTTACTTACTATGCTAGGAAATATTTTAGTCTATTTTAGTAAATTAAAGTATTATTATAAGAGTCCATCACTGTCACATGATTCATTTAAATTGTAACGACTTTTTGGAGTAAAAGTTGAATTTTCATGGAATGGTGTTCCAAAACTGTAATCATACCATCCCTACTCCACCAAGCTGGCACTAGAAGCTTAGCTCGGTCAGGTTTCTCAAAGGAATCAGAAGGAGCTGGACCTTTAATACACTAGGGCTAGTGCTTATGCCAAGCAGCCAATCTCCGTCGGTGGCCGCGAAGGCGTTGATCACTAAACAATCTATATTCACAAAAGCCAGCAGGACGCATGTTGTCACGATCCCATCCAGGTGCGCTTCAGGAGTGAATCGTCTGGATATCTATCCGCTAGACTATCCAGTAAAAGACTGGAATTCTGAGTCAACAGACTCAGAACGCGCATCTCTCTGTGATAGGATTTACTTGTCAGGGTAGAAAACCTGTCGACTAGGTAAGGAATCGGCTATTAAACACTATGGATTCGTTTAATAATGACGAAGGTAGCCTATATCCACGGAAATAGACTGATCCTTGAGGTAAATAAGGATCATGTGTTTTAATCACGTTGGTCATTATTATTAAAGCGTTCTTCTTCTTCCTTCCAGCCGTAGCCTAGATAGCAAATACAACCAACATCTTCAAACCCCCTGAGCCGTAGCTCACAACATCTCATGATGGATCGAATTCCTCTCCCACTTCACAGCACGGCACTCACTTCACATCGATAGGCGGTTATTATCTTCAGTTCATGAGCCTCGGAGCATAATCCACTGCATAGGCAATTATCTAGGTTGTCATCCCTAGAACTGGGTAATATATTGAGAAAGGCCTGGAGTAGAATGCCTGAAGAGGATGATGGGGATGATTGATGCGGTGAAGACAAACAGGAGGAAGACTACATCCCGGGAGGGAAAGCGAAAGGATCAGGTGATCGATGTATAATTACGACCAGCATGCTGCGCAATGAATCTGTCAGAAATGATAGTGTCGGCATTACTGTCAATTGGACAGCCACTATAGTCATCTCGAGGACACTGGAATCACTGTAGAAAGTTCCACATATATATCAAAGCCCTGGGGTAAGAACGAGGTTATATGCGCTAAGCTGATGTTCCTACATAGAGCTCTCGATGAAGTCTACTGAGAACTAGTGGATTTCGGGTTCTCTGTAGGGTGAGTTTCTTTGATGATAGCTGCTTCTTGATTGTTCGAATTTATCAATGGTTGTAATGGCTTCTCAAATGGCTGTAATAGAACGTATATCCTTCCAATCAGGTCTGGAGTAGAGATATCACATCTAGCCTTTGTACTATCTCGACAGGGTATAATTCACAGCGTCTCTATCACTGAGCTGGGTAGTAGAAGTGGAGGATCATGTGGGCTAGCGAAGAAGGGATTGTAGAAGAGCGACAGTGTGATAAGAGAGCCCGTCGGAGGTGTCTTGTGAACCAGAACTAGTGTCTATGGGTACCATCCTAGAAGGCATGCATGGTCACAGCCTGTTTCAGGTTTTCGCTATGACAAATGTACTTTTGATATCCACCTGCTACGGCCCAAGTGACATCCTTGATATCAATGCCCAAGCATAGGTCGTACATGCTCCACCCAAGTCCTGTCCCAACCCGAGTGGACAAATGCTCCTTCGAATCAACGCCCATCGCCCTGTCACAGCCTCGAAAACGAAGTACTCTTCCCGTGCCATAAAGTGTGGCTGTCACATTGCCAAGTAACTTGATCCGAGATGACTTCATCCTACATGAACAGGTGGCATGAGCAACCCGTCAATCAACAAACAGAAGCAAGAGCCGAAGTGATCAACAGAAGTGGTACTTTGTATACTCACACAACCCAGCCAACGACATCCATCAATAAGAGCACAGTCAGGCTGCACGTCCAATGCACATGTTGCAGGGTATGTTGGCTTACTGCATGCATGGGATCAGGAAGGATCAGGAAAGTCTTGACCAACCTTGCATCTGTTCGCATGACCTCTGCAATACCGAGTGGGTCAGCCAAGTCTCGCAGACGGGTATAACTTCCAATTGGCGTGGGATTGCACTTCATGGCCACCTGATCAGGCTGTATACCCACATTATGCTCGTACCTTGGGA